CCTGGGGAGCAGGATGAGCATCTTCCTTGCAGAGAGGGTGGCCACATGTTGGCTTGCATACACCGGCCTTGCAGAGGTTTCTGCAGAAGCTTTGCAGCCAGGATGGCAACTCTGGATTGGTGCAGCATTCCGCCTTTCCTGCATCTTCTCCTACATGGAGTAATGGCAGTGCTCAACTTCCCAGTTCTTTTTTAGAAATTGGACTAGTCTTGCTGCTTTCTCTGGTCTCTTGGCTTCCAGCTGCTTCTGTCACCAGCCTATCCTCTGCTGGGGTGGGGTCATCCAAGAGAGTGAATTTTCATTTCAGAGCCTGCTCCCTGCTTTGATCAAAACACCTTGTTGCATAGCTCAAATTCCTGATGGGTTTGTGTTCGTGCTAGTTATGTGGCTACTGGTTGAGCTGGAGATCTCAGCTGGCACAAGATAATGCTTCTGTGTGGAACACAGTGCCTGTGGCCCTGGCTGTCAGACCTGAGCATGTGGTGTTGTTTGTCACAACTGCCAATTCAAACATGGTAGCTTCTGCCTGAAGATCTCATGTTCTTGCCTGGCAAAGTTGCACACCTCCTCTCATCTCTTGCACAAAAGGGTGCTTCTGAGCTTTGAGAAATAATTGCAAAGAAACACTTGTCAGACTGGCTCCTGTGTCTCTGCAGGCTTGGTTGGGCTTGCTACCAAGAAGACATCTGTCAATTGTCCTCTATGTGAAGAGAGCTTAAGCAATTTCTTCCAGGCTGAGGTCCAGCACTTCTGCCTGTAAAACGTCTGAGCATGTGGGTTGTACAGCTCTGAACTGGGCCTTCACCTCACTCCCTCTTCCTCTGTTCTTTCTTCCGGGTTCCAGAGACTTTGTCTGGGATCTTCTCTATCTATGCCACTCCCAGGCAGGAATGGGGCCTAACAATCTTCTGTTGCTATTGGCATCCCTTCTGTGCCTGAGGAGGATTCTTGGAGTTTGGCTCTGGGGCTGGGTGAGGAGATAGGAGCCCCCTCCTGGCATTAGTGCTGATGGGACTCTGGAGCTGAGGCCCTTAAGGACATGTTTCCCAGGCTTGGTCAGGTTGGTGGTATTTAGTTGCTCCTCCTGAGCTGTCAGTGCTACAAACCCTTATCCTCTTGGAGGCCTTGCTCTGTCAGTACTCGGTCAAATTCCCCAGCTCACATTGCAGGGACATGTTGCCGCTGGGTCTGTGTGAAGCATCTTCACTCTTTCTCTTGGTCAAGTCTCATCTGGATTTGTGGTGCTTAATATGAGGATCAGGCTGTGGAAGGACCAGACACCATGCCTGCTGGGTTGATAGGTTTATTTGCAGGTGTGGCAGATGAGAGTTGCAAATAGTCTAGAGGGATCAGCAGTTTCCTTGCTTGGAAGATGCTCTTGCTCTGCTTTGCTTGGTGAGAATAGCAGGCATGGCCCCATCTAGAGGGTGAATGTAGTGTTTTGGGGGCACTCTTCCTGGTCCCCCACTGATGCACATGAGCAGCCCAGATGCCTTCCTTCTGCCTTTGGTTTGGCTCTCTACTTAGAGGCCTGATTTGGGTGGAGGCACAGGGAGGCTGCGTTGTTGAGTGTTGAGGCTGGTCACAACTTCCTGGTTCATTTACTGCCAGCACAGCTGTGGAGCACAGTTTGGACAGGTGCCCTGAAGGTTGTCTCATGATTTCTTTAATCTGGATGAAGAACAAGCTGAGGGCTGCAAGGTAGGTGCTGGCTACAATGTTCCAACCCTTCTTTATGCAGTACCTGTGGTTATAACCATGTCATGAGATGAACTATGAGCAGATCCAGATGCAATTTTCCCACTCCCCCTGCCCCTCTTCTGTGTTAGGTTTGTCCAGAAGACTGGGCATCTGTGCTGGAAATAGAGATTCTGACCCATCCCACAAAGTTGTCCCCTCTGGACCAGCTGGGTTCACATCCCTTCTTCCTCTTGTCACTTCTTGGTGCAGGAGAAGGATCTGAGAGGAGTTTTGTTCCAACCTCTTCTGGGTGTAGAGCTCTTCTGCCAGACTTTCCCTTCTACTGGGCAGAACGCTTTTAGCTTTTTATCTTTTGTGCACACATTGCTCCAGGGAAAAGGTGTTGCACCTGAGAATCACGTCAATCTTACTGGAGGCCTTTGGGTGCCTGGAATCAGGAACATTCTTGTGAGTAGGCAGGACAGCTACTGGAGAGGAGCAGAAGGTCCTGTGCCCCCTGCTAAGGATATGCTGCATTCCTTGTGCATGCCAGGAGCCTCCAAGCCTCCTTGCACCCTGTCCCTGTCTGTGCTTTTCTTTTTGCTGACTTTCGCCCGGTGCTATTAAGTGTCCTTGTCTGAGGTGTGTGTGATGCCAGTTCCCCTTACCTTCTCTGGCCTTCCCTGCCAATCACTGACTAGCAGGGGATCTCATTTCGGCAGTGTCCTGTCTTCCTCCTTCCTGCCTGTTAGTGTTGGCTTTGCCACCCAAGTAGTGCAGCGTTGCCAGTGTGCTTAACTCTGACTTGGCTTGTCTGTGGCCCATTTCAGTGCGATGAAGCAGCCTATGAGGAGCGGCAGTACCCAGCTGGGAAGTGGGCGTGTGTCACCAAGGGGGAGCCCATGTATGAGCAGAGCATCTCCATGAGCTTCATGAAGCTCATGCGCTACATCTGCACGGAGAACTCTGTAGGTGTGTGCAGGCAGGGGCTGGAGGGGGCTGGCAGGCTGCACAGAGGGAGGGCTCTGCTGTTGTTCATCAGGAGTGGGGAGGAGGGCTGTCACTACTGACCCAGCCATCTCACTGTGCCCACTGCCTTTCTACCTCCTTCCAGGTTGCTATCTGGGCATGACAGTCCCAGTGCTCAACGAAATCCACCTGACCAAGGAGGGAACTGAGCTGGAGCGAGAGGTCGTAACTGCCTATTATCTCCCGGGAGAGTTTCAGCAAAACCCCCCTGTTCCCACAGACCCTGAAATCCACATCACTGAGAGGGCACCACTCCGGGTTATAACCAGGTGACCCCAGCACCAGAGGTGTTTTCTCAGCTCAGCAGAGGTGTAGGAACTCCCTGCATGGCTGCTGTGGTTTCTTGAGCAGGGGGATGGGAGCCCTGGCTGTGGGAAGGGGGAATGTGCTAGCTCTGTTGCTTACTTTACTGCCTTTGCTGCAGGGTTTTCTATGGGATGACCACTGAGGAGACGATTCTGCGAGAGATCAGTCTCTTCTGGGAGCTTTTGGGCTCCACAGACGCTGTGCTCCGGGGAACATACATTGTGGCTGCTTACGAAAATCCCAGCATCCCTCAGCGCCGCAATGAGATCTGGTTCATCTGCCGAGCTGAGTGAGTCCCTTCTGTGACCGCAAACCACCCTGTGACTGGACCTGGTGTAGATGGCAGTTCTGACCTAAAGCAGACGAATGCACATCCTGACCCACCATTCACCCACAAAATGACAGACTAGGAGACTGCGGGGTGGGTTTGCACTCTGCCCTGCGAAGACTCAGCCAGGGGAAAACCTGCCTGGTCTGCATTTCACCTGTCCCCACCCAAGGGCCAGCTGAGGCTGGAGCTGGCACTGGGGAGAGCCCCTGCAGCAGGCTTCTAGTGGGAAGGACATGGTGGGGGCTTATGTAGTAAGCAGTAATTGCGTGGGCTTGTGCAATGTGCTAGCCTGACCTGGGCTTCTTTCAGCTCTGAGCTGGGCTTGCAGAGCTGTGCCAGGCATGCTAGTGGGGCTTGTGGTTTGAAGAGTCACAAGCTGATGGAGTCTAGAAGGCAAATCACTGTATACAAGGTGTGGAGCTCTGTCTGGACTCTGGCCTGTTTCCTGTGAGAATGGCTGCCTGTCCTGAACAAAGCCACTGAAATGCTGCTACAGGGACAGCGGGGTGCAAAGGGGCAAAGGGCTCACCACAAGCATGATGTGGATCCTGAATGTTTCCTGCTGGGGTGGCTCTCTGGCTGTCACTCACCATCCCTCAGCCAGGACCAGGGTGCTGGCAGCCTTTGTCCATCAGTTGTGGGTGCTGTTTTGTGTACCTGCTGCAAGCTGTGAGGGACAGGTCCCGACAGCAGCAGCAATGGCACCACTGTGTGTTGTGTTGTGCATTGGTGAGAGAGTTTCATATCCATGAATACCGATATGCTTTCCTGGGGGAAGCTGGCAGTGCCAACAGTAAATAAACCCAGCTCAAACCACTTCAGCTGCAGATTGCTGATGGTGGAGATGGGGGTTGTCCCGGTTGGCTTGGGAAGAGCCCTGCTCGCTCCTTCATCAAGATGCTCCAGGCTGCAGTTGGGGCTAATTAGAAGGGCTTTAATTTTGCTTTAATGTTTGAGGTTATGGCCTGGTGTTCAGCCAGGCATAGCCTTCTGCTTTGCTGCACAGGCTGCTTACATTGCTGCTACAAACAACTGTGGCCACACTCCCCTGCAGGTAAGGTGGTTCTCTGCTGGATGGGGTCTGCTCTAGCCTTATTTTTCCCCTGTGCAAGAAGTTGGCTCCTTTGACTGTACTGCAGATGAGCATCAGATCTGGGGGGCTGAGAATTCAAATGTGACTGCAGTCATGCTCATTGGCTGCAGGAACTGCTGTACTTTTGCAGAGATGTGCTTAACTGGCGTGGTGTGGCTGCTGCTGACCCTGTTCCCAAGGATTTTTCTCCTGCTGTAACTGGAGGTGTGCTGTGTGCCTCACCTCCTGCTGCTCAAGCTCTGGCTCTGGCTCTTTGGTCCTACAATGAAGCTGGGGGGGGGAAGGGAGGGAAGGCCAGGGCCAGTTCCATGATCTCATTGCCCTATCAGTGCAGGTGGCTTCTGCCACTCCATTTTCTAGTCAGATGCTGTTTGATGCCCTGTCCAGGCTGGCTTGCCCTCTGGCAGTGAGGGAGCCCGGCTGCCCAGCCTGTGGCTGTAGGGAGAGCAGGGCCAAGCATGTTACACCCTCCTCTTTGAGGGAGCAAGGTAGCTTCAGGCAGTCTCTGGGCAAGCACAGCAAGAGCAGACAGTGGTTTCCTGGGTATCTTGTGGTACAGTTCTTGTCCCTGGGGCAGTAAAGGCAGGTAAGGCTGGGGAGGTGCTGTGACAGCCTGCAGCTCTGAGTGTTGATGTGGCAAGTGCTCCTCAGATAAGAGTGGTGATACGTGGATCAGCAGTGCTGTGCTCACGTCCCTCCTGGGGAAGGAGCAGCAAGTCCCTTATGAGAGGCTGGGATCAGGTGGCTCAGTGTCAGTGGGAGAGCAAAGTCAGACAGCATGTGTGGGACAGAGACCGTTCCTCTTACTTCATCAGCTACTTTGGTTGCTTGCCTATAGCTTGCAGGTAGAAATAAAACTTGCTTTCTAGAGCTTGCTGAATAGGCTACCACTTCCTCTGAGGCTGCTTGGTCCCCAATCACAACCAGAACAGCTTTCGGTGACAGGAAGTGGTGGCTTCCCTATGAGGGAGGACTGGTCTGTGGCTACTGGCAAAGCTGCACAGCTATGCAGCATGCCAGGGCAGCTCTGTGGTCTCCCAGGCCCTGCTGGAGGTAGTAATGGTAGGTGCTTCTGGTGCAGCTCCAGGCTGGCACCGCCACACAGGGCAGCAGGCGTGCTCCGATCCTGTGCCACAGGCTTTGCTGACTCAAGGCTTCAGCATCCTCTGTGATGGATCCAGCAGCGCTCCTGGGGATGCTGTGGGGTGTCAGATGGTGAGTCTTCCACACAGTACCAAAAGCAGCCGGCATTTTGGGGGCTCAGCAAACCGGCTGGAAAGCTGGTGTTCAGAGCTGCAACTGCCAGAGCCGGTGGCGCAGGGCTGCATCAGGCTCCACAGGAGGCGTTTGGTTGGGCAGGGAGGCCTCCAGCTGGCGCCATGCAGGTGGCCAAGCCAGCTTGCACTGCTGTGCCCTGACTTTGGGACATGAGGAGGAGCAGCAAGGAGCAGGCAATGTGTTGTGTAGCTGGGGCTACAGCCCTCTGCCCGTAGTGGGGTGCAGAGCTCCTGGCTCCCAGGTCCCCCTGTGCTTTCACAGCGTTACAGATGGGGAACTTCCACCATCAGTTTAACAAACAGCCTGTCTGTGAGGAGCCCTTTGGCAGGAGGGGAGCTCTGTTGCCTCCTCGCTGCTCTGGACACCCCATGTTGGTGTGTTGCAACAGGTGTTGCTGTGGACAGGAGCAGGGGGCACCCAGCGCCCTGCGGCGCGGGGGTCCCAACCGTCCAGCCCGGGGTCTCCTGGCGCGACCCTCCTACCCGTTG